TGGTTTTCGCTGGACGCCGGGATTGTAGAGTGAATTCGATCGCTTGCCATACAATTTGACTGACATCAAATTTGAACCTGTAACATCCTAGTGACCATCACACATCCCTATTTAGCATCTCGCTGACAACCTACCTTGTTCAACCTGAGTACTGCCAGAGGCTTTTTAAATTACTGAGTCTAGCAGGCAGCCTGCAAGTGGAGGCTGGTGGAGGTGCCTGTTTGTCTTTCGCCGATCTGCCTCTGGACTGGGTGCTGGTGAAGTGGCCTTGGTGGACAACTTGGTCTTTCTCACACACATCAACGCTCAGCCAAGGTAGCCACAAACTTTGGATCACATTTGAGCTTCAAACAGGTTGCTTAGGGCCAGTCACAGAGAGCATCTGATATTTACCTGAACCAGAGTCCCAAGAGGCCCCAGAATCAACACACCCAGTGGCAAGCTTCAGACAACAGAGCAGGATCCAACTAGTTTCACAAGTGGCATTCAAAAGGGAGATCTCAGCAGACACCAGATCCTGCTGAGGCAAATTCTGCTTCATGTGGGATAATACCAGTACAGCAGCTTATACACTGTGGTCAAGGTTGATCCTCAGAGCCAGCCTGAGGGTCAGCCCCATACACGAATGAGCCAATAATAATCAACACTCAATTACAACAGGTGGGCTCATATAGCCCCACAAAACACATCGCCAGGGCACACAGCCCAGAAGATGTAGTAAACTGTACCAGTGTGTCCCACAGGACACCTACCAAGACTGTGAGACACAGACGTCTATCTAATACACAGAAACAAACACATAGAGGCAGCAAAGGTGAGGAGACAAAGAAACATATACCAAATGAAAGAACAAAAGAAATGTAAAGAGCGAAATAAAATGAAAGCAAGAAATTTACTAAAGAGTACAAAAAAGTGGTTATGAGGGTGCTCAAGAAACTCAGAACTTCAAGAGCATGAAAAAGAACATAGAAACGATGAAAACAGAGTCAGAAATTAAGAATACAATACCTGAAATGAAGAATACACAGAAGGAATACACAGTAGGTTGGAAAAAGCAGGGATCATATCAGAGATCTGGAAGGCAAGGCAGAAGAAAACATGCACTCAGAGCAATTAAAAAAAAAAAAATCCTTTCCTCTCTCTGCAATCAAGATATATTTAAAAAAAAAAAAA